CGTAGTTTGTTCAGATACAACAACAACAACAACAACAATAAACAACAACAACACGTGTAATTAGGTATTCATTTTTTAGACTTTGCACACTAATTTGTTGGCTGCCATCTTAAGAATTACATATACTCATGTGTGTACTGCTTATGGGTATTTGTAGGTATATTAAGAGGTTCTAATGTAATGGTTTTGACTCATGCAAGAAGTAGCGTTCCGCTTCATACACCCCAAAGTTAATTAAGAATACAATTTGTATTCAAATAAAAACAAAACTTGGAAGGCGAGGGTGTGTACCCAATAGAGCTTAAAAGGACGGACCAAAGAGTACAGAATAGTTTGACCTCAAAACGGAAATAAAATTAATTGCACATTAATGTGCCAATTTTATATGTTTCTTCTATGGTTCAAACTCTGTAGACTTAGTTTTCGTATGGCTGGCAATTGTAGACAATATTGTAGAAAGCTGAGACTAGAAAAGCGTTTTTCGGTTTCTATTTATTACTGATCTTTTACTTATATATTTTACTAATAATATAGTAGTTAAAGAGAGGCTCCTAACTTACAATGTTGTAGAAAAAGAGATCATATGTTTAAGGTATTTTTCAAGATTGATCATTGATCTTTTAAAAACAGATTCTAAATATCTTTAATAAACAGGAAGATCCAAGCTTTGAATGTTCGGAACTTTTTTCCAATTCAGCTTTGTAATATCCGTAACCCAAAGTCTCATAAACACGGTTCAGTCTATTGTCGATATATGGCTTTGAACACCTGCCGTAGGAATGGTAACTTGATATTTTACTTGGACCATAAGAAGAAAGTCTTTTTAGATATAAATGTGACAATAGGAAAATGTTGCTACTTATTCCAGTTAGTATTCGAGTTGCTTTGTGAATGTCTTTTTCATTCATTTTTTTTATTTGCAAGCGTACTATGCAACTAAATGCGTCCTGAACAACAAGATTCCCGTAGTAAGTAACTTAATCATATCGGATGGTCAATCCTTAACAGTTCTAGAATGTCAAGCTTCTTTGCATTAATTGGATAGGCTTGCTAGTTTCCAACTCATGTTGGTACTTGAATACTGTGTCATTTAGGATAATTGTAGAGCACATGAGCTTGCTAAGCATGTTACTGTCTTAAATTAATTGCTTAGATATTGGTATCCCACTCACAATGATTACCTCAAACATTTTGCAATAGCTAAAAAATCTAGGTGGATGCAGATTCTGTGAGACTGAACGATTTATTTGGTCCAATTTATACAAGAATCGTACTAGTCATTGGCTTTAACTAAAATGGAATCTACTATTAAGTAATACGATATTCGTGCAGACGGGTTACTGTGTTTTATTAAGATATAAAATAAATTTTTTTGTACTCAATAGTGAGATTTGCTCTGGTTATTAATCTGCAGAGAAGAAGGAAACTGTGTTTCACTTTATATATCAGTGATGTCTTTGGCTAGTAAAAGATATTACATCTGTAGAACCCCTACTATTTATGCCCTGACAGAGCTGTCATTATTCGAAATTAAGGACATGATCGAATGATTCACTTTTACTTAATGGAGGGAATCGCGCCTATCTTTTTCAACGTTGCACGTGCGCTGCTTACTTCTCCCTTAATTAATGTTTAAGTGGTCCTCTGGGTTAGGTGTATGAACAATATTTTGTCCATGGTATTATATTGGTCTCTTACTCGAGAGTGATTCATATCATTCTTCTTCATTGGTTGCAGTCTTCTGTTATAATGTACTATAGAATTTACACATTATAGATAACAGGGACAAGAGTAGGGATCATTGCTTGATGCCAGAACGCGTGACTGATGGGGTCGTTACTATATTTGTGTTGTCCCAAACATACATGCATATGTTTACTGATTTAGTGTAAAAGTGATTAATCTGGGTTAGTTAAGTAATCTTGTGATGAATATAAAACCTGCTGTTTCACTAGTTTTGATATTCGGATTATATTTGAACATTAGGTTTTTTAATGAAAAAAATTATTAATTATGCTGCGGTATACAATATAAAGTTATTTTAATATTTGTGGGAATAAAATATTAATCTATACAACAATAAATTAATGGTATACTTTAAGATTTTAATACCTTAAATTTAGTATTTCAAATCGTAGGAGTAACTAAAAAGCAGAGATTATAATAATTTTGTTATTTTATAATTATGAGTTCATGCATATTTATTAATAACCTTAATTCATTTGACTTCACCTATTTTTCAATTTTATTTTGCGTAATATTTTTTAATTATATTCATAAAAAATAAAAGTTAAAATATCTTAGAGTATGAAAAGGCTTTCTTTGAATTGCAGCAACGTGCGACAGTTTTAATGGTAAACATTGCATTACTTAATCCCATTTCGATGGGTTTTTTGATATTTGAAATGTGAAGATATTTCGTGTTTGTTTGGGGCGTAACAAAGTTGCAAATTTAACACAAAACACAAAAGATACAAACTTGAGTTACTTAAAAAAGACAAAATGGAAACAAAGAAATCCACTATTCAATTGCTCTACAGTGCTTATATAGAGGCTTGTCGCATGCCCAGATTCATGTCTTCACAAAAAATATAACAAAGATCATTGTTTTATTCAATTTACAATAATCATTACATGCTATCATTACAATGTAATGGAATTTAATTGCCAACATTGTTGGTACAATTATTACTGAATAACACTTGATATGTTGATGATAATAACATCTTTTTTGTGGTTCCTATTTTTGCATTGCTGACATGTGATTATTTTTGTACCAGGAAGCGGCAGAGTAGTTGTATCTGATAATAAAACCCTTGAGTTGGCTGATTTACTTAGTTTGAAATTAAAAACTATACTATTTAATTTTATACAAATATATTTCATGATATCAAAATTTTGTTAATTTCCTTTCCAAAGTTACAAAGAATTAAGCTACACAATACCTGAGTAATTTTGATTTAAAGTATTGTCATGTACAACGTACTTAACCTTTTCGGTGCTTAAATTTTATAATTAGTATGTTGTGCAACTTAATTATTATTATGATATTTTAGTGATTTTTTTCAGAAATTTATTTTGAGTATTTTTATATACATAATATACCGATAAAACTATACCTACATGTAGCAGAAATGACTACATACGATATTGATTTTTGTATCAATATCTTCTAAATTAAAGTCTCTCAAATACAAGTGATCAATCGGAAATATGTGCTATAAAATCGAATGAACTATGCAAACTTTCAGTTAGAATGACCCTTATCCTGTGATAACTTTAATATCGATCATACGTAGAGCAGGTATTCATTGTAATGTCACAGTATTCTACAAATGTATAACTCATTGCATTTGCTAACAATATCATTGGATATAGCAAACGGTTGCTTATTGCTGCAATTGCCATCATCTGCGCAAATGGGCTGGTAGATGATTGAAGAAAAACCATAGCATATGTCGGCTATTGGCAAATAAAGTTTATGATTTGAGTGGCATACTGGTTGCCAAAGGAAGTTGGTAAAGCATTATTTATAAAGGCATCGTCATAAATAACTACAATGATTTCAATTTGAAAATAAAATGGTGAATAAACAGTACCAATAGGTACTATAGGTGCTATACAGTGCTACTATAGGTTGTGTAGGGAACGAAGATGTAAACTACTCTAGTTCGACACTAACACAAGTTAGTTCCTTTAACCTTCTTGTGCTTATATAAGGTGTGGGAGCGTGTACGTTATCACAATATTGAAGAGAATTGATTTTTTTCGATCAATAATCAGTTATAAGTTGGCTACATTGTTCTACTACTGGGACATTACCACCAGAATGAAAACAATAAATGATTTCTTTTGAGATATTAAAAAAATGAAAAACAAAATATAATTTTGTAGTATTCATTTCGTGGAATTACTTTGATTCTACTTTGATTTAAATGTATATGTGTGTGCGGACACAGCCGCAAATATTCATAAAATAATTGCTAGTAATACTTTAGATGA